GAAGTTCCCCGTGTAATAAGATATGATCAGGCGTCAGTCTGGCTAAAGGGAAGACAGTACCTCGATGCTCAGTTTTCAAAAGCCACGGGCCTATCTCCGGAGAAGTTGGAAACTCTTAATGAACATAATTTAGAACGAGGCGAACGAGCGGATTTCCGTATGATTTAGAAGTTTTGTGCCCAAAAGTGAAAATTAATTTAGTCGGACGATGTTCAATATGAAATCCCAAAAAAATCATGAGCGGGATGAGAGGTTGGATGATTTTTATGATTTACTTTTACCGTTTACGTTAATAAAATACGAAATATGATCTTTCCAAAAATGAATTTATGGAATTGTTCTATTCTTCTTCTTGAGGTTCTGTCTCCAGTAGGAGGTTAGCAATCACCATCGCAATTCTGGTTTTTGAAATGGCAGCTTGAAATAGTTATATTGAAGTGGTGCTCCCAAACCTTCTTTAGATTTTAATTAATTATTCTTTTTACGTAAGGTCTTGGCTGAGATGAAAAAGCTAGTCAGGAGCGGGATTCGAACCCACGACCGTCGGCTTCGGTTGATCATGACACTAACTTTTTTTTCATTTCAATCAGGTGAGACACATCGAAAAAACTTTCTACATGCCGGACAAATATGCGGGCTTTTCTGTTTATTCTTCTTTATATAGAATAAATTAAAGATTATTAAATCCATTTTATTTAGGGGACTATTGACCAAATTACTTCTTTCAATTAATTCATCTTTTTATGTATGGTTTTGGTTGTCACGAGCGGGATTCGAACCCACGAGCTTCGCCTCAATGGTTAATGGAACTGAAAGAAAACCAAAAAGAATAATAAATAAAATCCATTTTGTTTTAGTGGTCAATTGACCAAGTTACTTCTTTCAATTAATTATTCTTTCTATGTAAGGTCTTGGTTGAGATAAAAAAGTCAGTGTCACGAGCGGGATTCGAACCTACGACCTTCGGTACCAACTCTTGAAAATGGCAAAAAGAGATAAAATTCGAACGGTCGTAGGTTGAGATGGAGAGTTGGTGTCCGAGAGGATCGAAGTCACGATAGCACAAGTGGTAGACTAGCGGCGTATTTAGCCGAAGGTCGTGGGTTCGAATCCCGATTGTGACGCTAGCTTTTTCATCTTAACCAACACCTTACATAAAAAGAATAATTAATTGAAAGAAGTAATTTGGTCAATTAGACCACTAAACTTAATGGACTTTTTTAGGTTCTTCAACGAAGATATTCTTTTTCTTCTTAAGCGTGTCCTTATCATTTTTCCTGTATGACAAGTATCATTCCCCTCGCTTAACACTCCAAAATAACTTTGTTTCCTTTTTTTTAGATGCACAATACAATTTCTTTCTCTTTTCACTTTCTCCCCATAAATACAACGATAGTACAAAATTTTTTATGATTAGTTAGTGGACATCGAATCACACATTACTAGGTACCTTGGGCCGACAAGTCTAGTCCTTTAGCTGACCTACCTACGCTGTTGGGTCCGTTGAAAACATGTGCACGGATCGTTTCTTTATTTTTGCATAGAATTTATTTTTAATTTTCTCTTTGCCACCTTTTGCATTGTAGGTCTGTTTGAACTCCACCTGCCCTCATGCGGGCCTCGTCCGACTCGTCTTCATCACCACGAGTTTCTTCCCCACTTGCACCACTTTTTCTACAAACGCGGAGCACGACCTCAAAACGGATCCTCCCTCGAGTTTTGAGACCGTGGAAGCTCTCTGTGAAACGTGAAAACTCGGGATGACGTCCCTCGCACCATCTCCCGCATCTGGAGGTAAAAAATGAATAAATTTCGATACGGGGGGTGCGACTAACGCACGTGGCAGACGTATAATGCACGATGCCCCGTCAAGTACAGAAATATGACGGGAAAGATAAGGGAACGGCTACTGAATCTTCTCCACCACCTGCTCTTCGTGCTTTACGACCTGATACAATCAACCGAGCTACTGATCGTCAAAAAACCAATCATTTTAATTTCTTAAAACATGGCGACATCTGTTAATTTATAAACAATGTTTCAAAACAGGAGGTGGTTCTAAAAGCTAATATGCACTATGGCCTATGCTGATAATCCAAAAATATTCACATTTGCCTTTTTTCTCTCCTTTCTGTTCACTCAACACTGCTACACTCTCCCTGAATGGTGCATTGAAAAAGCATATCCCCTGATCTAAAGGTAAAACGGTTCTTGACCACCTTTATTTAAAGAATGGATATCTTCTAAATAGAAGAAACACCATTAAAGACCTGAAATCATCTTTAGATACGATCTATCTCTCTAGTTATATATTGATCACATTTGTAATAGGGATTACCAATTTCTTCGATTTGTAAGAAAAACAAACTCATTCCATCTAACTACTTGGCTATTCATTGGTGGTTGATTGATTGATTGATGGTTTTATTCATTCACATAAAGTTAAGTTTCTTGGACCTTTCTTACACTTAACATGAAGTGGTGAGAGAGAGAGGAGAGAGGAAGAAACACAGAGAGAGTGAGAGAAAGAATACATTATTTTGAGACAAGGGTCCTAAGAGTAACAAACAGTAAAAATAAATTCACTAATTTCATGGTCCGCTTGACAAATTTATACATTACAATTAATTAAGGTTTTTAGTTGAGATAAAAAAGTCAATGGCACGAGCGGGATTCGAACCCACGATCTTCGGCTTGATACGCCGCTGCTCTANTACTGTTATCCAAAGATGGTACAAAGTATACGTCGATTTATACTTAATTCATATTTGTTGTTATTTTACAAATAATTAAGGTTTTCAATTGAGATAAAAAAGTCAATGACACGAGCGGGATTCGAACCCACGATCTTCGGCTTGATACGCCGCTGCTCTACCACTTGAGCTGTCGTGACCTCGATCCACTCGGACACTAACTTCCCATCTCAACAAAATTCAAAAGGTACGGCTGAGACCCTTAATTAATAGTAAAAATAAATATAAATAAAAGCATATTATGCCTATGGTTGACAGCCATCTGCCGGAATGTTTGTTTATTTATTTATTTTTTTTTTTTAATAAACGCACATGAAACTACTATTCTCACTAAATTCTAACAATTTGTGGAGGGTTTCTTATTAGTGTCATTAAAAAATAGTAAGGCCACAGAAATTTTTATAATTCTGACACTTGAATGAAGGTTTGACGGTAACATACAGCAAAATAAATCACGTAATAAAATATATAAATAGAAACAATAGCAGCAGTAATAAGATCTGCAGGAACATATCTCATGTATACCAGATTGGTGTAGACAATGGAAAATGAAGATAAACGAAAGCAAGAGAGTCCATGTCACATTTACCCTCCAAAGTAAACCTCCTTTCACGATATACTACAACAACGTTCCTATCCCCAAATCCGACGCATTCGCTACCTTGGGTTCCACCTAGACTCACGACTAACGTGGAATCAACATACACGACAAAACCTAAACAGACGGTATGGTCTACTGCAAAGGACAAATAGGACAACAGTCTAAACTATCGACAAAAAACAAACTTACAATTTACAAAACACTACTACAACCGATTTGGACATATTAGGACTTTTAGAATTTGGAACGGATCAGTTCTTCAATAAACGGAATTTTTTTTTAGATCAATACAGATAACATACCTATATCATCACATTACATTCCACACATCAAATATTTTTCACATAGTCTAATTTCCCAATAATTCAGCTTTCCTTTTCCTATTTATCCCTTTCTATATAATCCTGAAAGGATAATCTGGCCACCAACACATTTTTTCCCTTCGTCGGCTCTTTTCACCTCAAAGAAGCCAACGCCTTATACAAAAATGTCTTTTCTATACCGACTTCCTTTCCCACCCCTTCAAAATCCAACGTATATAAACACAAAATAGCAAAATCTCACTGGCACTCTCGACACGACACGCAAGAATGGCACAATTACACAGAAGACAAACACTTTGAGCCCTGAAGATGATCTCAATAAAGATAGAAACGTTGGCACGATAAAGAAAATGTTTTTCTGAAACCTACATCACACCAGACTGCATCTCACGATTTCTACATAAATATCGATTAACGGTCACTAATCACCACACAATAAACGCAATGTCATTGTTGATAGTGAGGTTAGTGATGTAACGAGTTTTTACAATTTGTCTGATGACTTTTGATTAGAGGAATACACTGGATGGATGTTGGATGGCTTGGCAGAACCCTACAGCTCGACTACTTATGTCCAAAGTGGTTGCAGTACAGTTTTAAGGTATAAGGTTAGTTAAGTATTGACTGTTAAAACAGATTTCAGTCCTTGAAGTGCAACTAATGGACACTTTGCAAGTATTGTATCTGCCTATTTTTACCAGTAAATATGATAGAACAGAACTTGCAGACCAACAACAGGCAATCAAACTTTCTTACAGAATATTTAATTATGTAATCTCTAATTAGCAAAAATTATTTGCTAAAAACTTAAAACATGAAAGCAAGTCTTGCAATATAGGAAAGAAAGGATATGTGAAAAAAAAAGATAAGGTAAAATTACAAAATAATTAAATGGTTACACAATTAATATTTATTCATCACATTTTTTTATTCAAATATACCGGTAGTACTGTTAAATCATTACTTTTTTTAACGGTACATTTAATTACAATTAATTTATTAATAAATAATCAAATATCAGGAATATATAAAAACAGGGGAAACAATTATTTCGACGGCACAAAGGCTCAAAAATGAAACATATTTACAAAATAATACTTTGTTTTCTTTTAAAAAAATGTTTATGTAACAAAGAAGCGATATATATATATATGTATAATATCTATATATATCTTTTTATAATTTATTTATATATTTATATTCACGAGAGTCCGGAAAGCGTATTTGACACGTTACTATAAATTAACTTAAGCGAAGCAACTTCAGTAAACTCCCCCCCCCCATAGTTCACAACTTAATATAAGAATAAGAAAAATAACAATATTTTCAAAGCAGAAAAATAAATTGGCACAGCTATTAATTGGAACATGTTTTGAATTCTAGTAATTCTTTCAATTTGCCAAAATAAATAACTAGACGCTATTTATTCTAATTGTGATGTTGCTTCTTTTTTTTTTATTGTTGTATTATGTTTTGTTGTTTTTTTATTTATCGATTATTCCACAATGAACTATATATTGTCACATACTGAAATTTTTCTAAATTTTTAATGTAGCCTTTGAATTGTATTGATTTCTAAAAACAAACATTTTTGTTTTTTAAGAAACAAATATTTCTTTTAAACTCTCTCAATTTAAATATTAATCAATTTAAAACCAATTTGTAAAAATAACTTTATTTACTATATAATTATCATTTTATATTTTTTGTCTCGAATTTGTTCGTAAACTTGGTAAACAATAAACATTTCTCTAAAAAAATATTTCTAGTAAGTGTGCAATACACAATTTATTTTATTAATATCTCTTTTATTTTGCCAATAACCTGTATACATTATTCATTCGACGATCCAAAATAGATTTTGAACAATTCCTAATTGATAGATAACATGCAAAATTGATTTTTTTTTCTGTTTACAATCAAAATATCCATCCAATGTTTCAAATACATATCATCATTAGTCCATTAATTCTTACAATGTACAATTAATAAGCTATTAAGCTGTCTTTTGTCTAGAGGTACATCATATTGAGAATAAATTGAAAAAATATTTATATGCTATATACAAAGTTTAACAAATCAAATTAGTTTAATATGTATAAAGGTTATTTTCGTTATTTGTTTCTTTATCGGTTAAATTAACAAAAATTAAATTGGTTTTTTATGTATAAATATTTTTAATATAGCTGTTAGCTGACTAAATGACTAATGTCATATCCCTTTTATTAGGAAGATTGACTTTCTTTCCTTGCCACAGGCTGTTGTGAATCGTGAAAGCATCTATAGTGACTGTCAAATGCTTTGTATGTACTTGTGAGAAGCACTTTCCTCCAGAATTATACCTATTTAAAAAAAAATTTTGGTTACAAAACAAGTGATAAATAAAAATTTATGTAATACTCACTTAAAAAATTTGTCAAACATTCGATCTGTAACTTGTTTAGGCCCGGTTCCGTAGAGTTTTACAATTTCTTCAGTGTCGGGATAGTACGCGTACAAGGCCCTGAACTGGCAACCGGCATCTCTGAACAGGACCAGAAAATGCTTCGCTTCTGACCTATTCATTTCTTCTATGACCCTCATTTTCGCCTCTTTGTTCACAACTCCGGGAAATACACAATATTCAACTGCATTCAGTACGATACCCTGGAAACAAAGAACAAAATTAACAAATATATATTGCTAGGATTATTATAATACTTATTATGAGTCCCACCATGCCTAAGTTGTAATTATACCAAAAACTTAGTTGGACGAAACTCCTTATCCAACGTATTCAGTCTAGATATCATTCAAAGGTTGGAGCTAATGGGGACTACCCAGCTCATTAACAGGGAAATAGCCCTAATAAAAAACACCCCAAGCAAGATGTAAGGCCGCTAAAGCCAGAAACACACTTACCCGATGCTACCCGACGCAAATCAAAACTCCGATTTTCCATAAGGTTGCATTACCCCCGTGCACATCTACCCGATGCTACCCGACGCAAATCCAAACTCCGATTTTCCATAAGGTTGCATTACCCCCGTGCACATCTACCCAATGCTATGCCACGCTAACCTACGCTCTGCGATCCCCACTGTCCAGATTTTTGTCGGGTCGCATCGAGTACAGTCGAAGACAAAAGAACCGGACACTCATATTTTTATTCAAACTGCATGTATTATTGTTGTTATATTAATTACAACATACTTATTTTAATAGAAACCAAATTAGCTGTGATTAAAAATTAATTAGTTTTTATTTAAAAAATTGGTTTTAATGGTTTGGTAGAAAATTAATCAAAACACCGGAATATGATTTTTTGATATAATGAATTTAACTAACAATTTATTGTACTCGCTTCGGCGGAACATATACTAAAATTAGAACAATTTATTACACGGTTTTGCTCATAAAATTTAATTAACAATTTATTTCATAGTTTTGCTTGTAAAATTACACCATTTTCTAATGTCGGGTAGCATCAGAACAGGACACTCATATTTTTTGACACTCATACTTATTTCAAACTAAGTACATGTAATTTTGTCGTTATATTAATTACATGTTATTTTAATGAAAACCAAATTAAACGAGATAAAAAATGCATGTTTTTATAAACATTGTTTAATTGTGATGGTTAGGAGTAACTTTATTTAAAAGACAATTAATTAAGGTTTTTGGTTGAGATGAAAAAAGTTAATGGCACGAGAGGGATTCGAACCCACGACCTTCGGCTAGATACGCCACTGCTCTACCACCTGAGCTATCGTGACCTTGATAATTAATTGTCAGTTATTAATTGGTCAAGCGGACCACGAAAAAATGGCAAAAGGAGAGAAAACTCAAAAGGTGGGGTTGAGATGGGGAGTTGATGTCCGAGTAGATCAAGGTCACGATAGCTCAGGTGGTAGAGCAGCGGCGTATCTAGCCGAAGGTCATGGGTTCGAATCCCTCTCGTGCCATTAACTTTTTTCATCTCAACCAAAAACCTTAATTAATTGTCAGTTATTAATTGGTCAAGCAGACCACGAAAGTAGTGAATTAATTTATTTAAAAGAATTAGGTTTAACAAACAATTTATTAGATGGTTGTGCTCATAAAATTAAACTAACAATTTATTACAAGGTTTGGCTCAAAATAGTGCATTAAGAACAAAAGATGCGTTGCAATTGCATCGGATAGATGTGCACACCCCACCAAAACGTGGCAAGGCGTCGGGTAGCGTCGCATGGCGTAGCATCGGGTAAGTGTGTTTCTGGCTTAAGGGTTGAATGATCATAAGAGGTTAATTGCGGTCCTTATCATTCCCCTGGAGGAAACAGGCACCACCTCCGTGTATGTTCATACAAGTCTCTGACTAGACAGACCTCCAGATCTTGAGTTCTGAGTTGAGTAGCAATATACACCCCCCTGTGTGCAGATATCGTCCAGAAGAAAAAACAGCAGAGCATGTCTATGTAGACAGATGCCTACTCCTTGGAGAGGAAAAGCCTAAACCTGAAGGTTAGACATGGGAGACGATAAAAAAAACTCCAAAGCTATAGGTACCAATATCTGATTTAAAAAAAAAAAAAAAAAAAAAAATCAGGACGATCAAGTGCTCTTCGTTCCCCAAGGGATGCACTGAAAGAGTGATTCTTTACCTTTCACTTAATGTTTACATTCCAGCTCATAGAAGCTGTAAGTTATTATTTTTTGTGGTAGAGAGTGGGAAATTTAGAAAACAACACTGTTGTTTACCATTTTAAGCAACACACTGTTTCTTGAAACTTCAGTCTAAAAGTGAAGAAACTAGAGATTAATTACAATTAATTAAGATTTTTAGTTGAAATAAAAAAGTCAACGGCACGAGCGGGATTCGAACCCACGATCTTCGGCTTGATACGCCGCAGCTCTACCACTTGAGCTATCGTGACCTCGATCCACTCGACACTAAACACCTTAATTGGTCAAGCGGACCACGAAATTAGTGAATTTAATGATTTAAAATGAAGTATCCTTCACTAAAGCTCTCCGTGACCATTTCATTTGGCGTGGAGAATCCAATCCAATTTCACGAGATTTGAAAAATGGCAAAAAGGAGGGAAAATTCAAAAGGTGGGGTTGAGGTGGGAAGTTAGTGTCCGAGTGGATCGAGGTCACGATAGCTCAAGTGGTAGAGCAGCGGCATAGCCAAAGATCGTGGGTTTGAATCCCGCTCGTGCCATTGACTTTTTTATCTAAACTAAAAACCTTAATTAATTATAATATACTAATTGGTCAAGCGGACCATGAAATTAGTGAATCTAGAGATTAATATTAAGCTCGTGTTACCAAAGTACCTCAGGCTATCAGTACCACACTGGAGGAAGCAAGGGTGCGATATCATGCTCACCGTCCTGAATTGATTAAGGACGACTCCTTTTAACCTTAACTTTTCTTTTTTTTACAATACATACCAGGAACTGGAGGAGTTCCCTCCTGAACACTGCAGCTGTACAGCTTATTGTACTTTATCCTGGCTCCATTTTTGGGGGGCTCGCAACACGTGAATTTGAGCCCCCGGTGTGCCGGTGTTCTTCTATCAAAGAAACTCATTTTTGAAGGGGGTTGGGACTAAATTCAGGGTCGCTGAGATCTGATCCTGCTCCTTCCATTGATGAGTGTCGTGTCAATTTCTTTTCAATTGTAGCCACCGGTCCCCTTAGGTGTCAGAAAAAGTCCAGAGGCGACGGTGGGGATCGAACCGACGACCGCGGGATCTACTAGCCAAGAGTCTGACACCTTAACCCTTGGCTACCGCAGCCCCCACCAACCTTAACCTTAAGTTTACAATTATTCACTTTTAACAATTATTTTTGAACAATTTTTCCTTGATAGAATTTTTTAGGCGTAGCCTTGAGAAAGGAAATATATTTTTTAAAAACATCGGCTCAATGAAATAGATTTTTTCTAACCTATGTGACCGCTATCCCCACATCATCATCACCATAATCATCAACGGTCATCACCTAGCATATAATTTTTCCACTTTTAACAAAAAACAAAATGCAAACTTTTAAATTACATTTATCAGCTTATTCTTAATCATATAATTACTCAATTAATTATACACAATTTTTTCGAAATGAAAAATTTCTGATACAGGCGGGATTCAAACCCACGACTTTTGGCTAAATACGCCGTTGCTCTACCACTTGAGCTACCGTGACTTTTGAGGCATGGACGATCAAAGTCACGGTAGCTCAAGTGGTAGAGCAGCAGCATATTTAGCCGAAAGTCATGGGTTTGAATCCCGCCTATGACAAAAAAATTTTCATTTTGAAAAAATTGAGTATAATTATTTGAGTAATAAACAATGAAAACATTTACCTTATTACTCTTAGTTGTAGGTTGTCTATAAAGTCTTGGACCGGTGTAATCACTACCAGCATCTGACATGTTGTCGTCGAACCTTCGCCTGTGTGAAGCTGGCAGTGAACCGGGACCGGATGGTGAAGGTACCCTCCGCGGCGGTGTAGCTCTCCCAAGTCCTGAATCGGTATCGCCGTAGCGATACGCTAAACTGTCCTGGTCACAGCTGGACCCTGCGACACCCAGAAAACAAGTTAAAAACGTTCTGTACAACCGAGACACAATAGTTCAAATTGAAATAAATAAAATTTTCTGCCTAAGTCATCTGAAAAATCAAAATGTTTTAAATGTACTCTATATAAAATAATGGCAAAAGAAAAGAAAATGTTTCTATTCTATGATTTTCTAGCTAATGAGTAACCCTAAATATATTACTAAGATGTAAAGGAAAAAAACACCTCAACCTCATTAGAAAGCATGTTAAAAGCACATTGCGTTAATTGTTTTAATGAAATGTTTTTTATATATGTACACATTTTGTTTATTTCCATTATTATTTACAATTTTATTTTTATATTTTCTAAATTACAGCACTATTTACAGAATAAATAAACAGGCAATACCCTAAATGAGTATTATTATTTATACAATGCTTCTTTCGTATTTAATCCAATTTTGCCTCTCTAGTGGTACCCACTAATTAAAAGTTGACACTGTTTTGTTAAAATAAAAGATCTGCAAAATTGTAAATTAGACCGACGTTGGTGTCTGAGTGGATCGAAGTCACGATAGCTCAAGTGGTAGAGCAGTGGCGTAGCCGAAGGTCGTGGGTTCGAATCCCGCTCGTGACACTGACTTTTTATCTCAACCTTACTTAAATATTAATTAATTGAAAATTGTAAATTAGGTTGGAATATTTTCAAACCCAGCCCTCGACATAATTCTTCAAAATAAGTGGGCTGTATTTTCAGGGGAAAAAAGAGTTTGGCACATTGTTAGTTATAATTAAATCAAAAAAGATAATAGTCATTGTACAAATAAGAATTTACATTATTAGGGACATAATTATGTGAAAATTGCTGAACAAAATCCTTTTACTTATGCACAATAAGTTCAAGTAGGTCTTTTAGAGAAAAATTGTATTAACAATAAGCGACAGAATTTTTAAAACAAACTATGACAATATTTAGTTACATTTTAAACCTTATTTAGTTACAAAGTTTATAATTAATAAGTTAATATTGCTAATATTATTATTTTCATTAAATAAAAGTAAAATTATTTTAAATACAATAAATACACACTACGTACAAAATATGTCAAAGAACCAATGACCTCTTTGTTTTCCAAGTTTTGGAAATAAACAAAATATCTTTTACTATTTCGATATATTTTTCATTAAAAAAAGAAATTTATTCCCCCAAAATTATTTATTTGAAAAGTTAAGTCTTTCACTTTTAGATAAATATGTGCTTTTATAAAGTTATTTGAATATTTAGTGCTCATTTTTATTTGATTATGGGGTAGATCCGAACCATCACCGCTTGTAGGTTTAGGTTTTAAGTCTTACCAGCAAGATTCATGAGAGAGTTAGATTTGCGTCTCGCCTGGTAAGTCCCGTACTTTGAACGTCCCATCGTTCTCACTTCAGGTGATGCATCTGTAACCACACGCAATTTCTCGTCTGTTCTCAAAACGACTTTCAACCCCCAGAGAAAACTCGTTGGCTTTACGTAATTTGGTTTTGCAAATAAAGTTATTATAATACTCATTTCTCATTTTAAAGTGCTTAGTGCTTTTGCAATGTAGCTGTGCTTTGAATATTTGCTTGTACGCTTACTTTTATTGTGATTAAGAAGCTTTCAAAAAACATTTAGACAAAAAACAAAAATAACTACAACACATTTTGCTTTTCATATATGTTCAAGGTAAAAACAGTCAGAAAGCACATTTATTTATACCGACCGTAATAAGCTAAACATTAATACTCACCTCTTGATGTTTTATAGGACGACCTTCTTCCTAAAGATCTTCCTGGAGATGTTCCTCTACTCTCATCGCCGATTTCTGAAAGAATACTTCGTCTCTAACAACACACTTATCCCACAAACCATACAAACATGATTTTAAAGCAGAACACATAACAAAATACACTACAAAACAGCTAAAACGCTTCATCCTTTATTATTTAATTATCCACATTTCAAAAGCACTATAAAATAAAAATAAATAACAAAAGTATTTAATTAAAATAAAATACCTGAATATAAACGAGAGGAATTCTTTCTAGTTTCGGTTAAGCAGTCCTGAGAACCTCGATAGTAATCCCTCCGCATTGGGGTACCAAATGCTACATGCATCACAACATTCCAAACAAATTAACATAAAATAAAAATGCCTAATGTCAAATTTAGCTAGCATAAAGCCATTTATTTCTGATCTCTATAAAATGCAAAAGCTATAAAAAAAATATTTTTAAAAAATTGAAATGTATATTAGCAGTGTTTTGGTTTTCCTCATTTTTTTTTCTAATTAAACTTGATGTTTAATCAATTGATATTCAATCAATTTAAACACTTATAATCAATATTCAATCAATTGAGATCAATGGGCTGACGAGATCTTAGCTTTATACCATCTACAGTGTTGGTTTGTCAGATCTCAGAAGATTAGGTGGGTCCGTGCATTTTTTTTTTAATTTTCTCAAATTTCGACTTTATATACTTATAAAAGCAATCCTTTATAACATTCTAGCCCCATTACATATTATCTTTTAAGGTGGAAAAAGCCTTATTGAATGAGATTGTTAAGAAAGGGGTAGTTGATCCCAAAAGACAGTCTACAATAAACTGCATGTGTATGACTTAGAAACAGATGCCTATCAAAATTTATGTGGAGTTTACGGTGATCAACAGGTGGTTCTGATGTTTTCATAATGGCGAGGCGAATCCAAGACCGGCCTTATTGTTGTAGGCCTAATGAGCTTAAAAGCGAGAACTTATTTAAGGCATTAGGAGGAAGAGGACAAATATAACTATAACAAAGCTATCAGAGAGATTTCACACACTTCAAGCAGCAACAGAAAGATGAATCTGATATCTGGGTTGAACTGAAATTAAATTCATGGGTTTGCCTTACGAGAAACACTTGAATTGAAACCTAAATAAAAGAATAAATCCGAGAGGTTTATTTCCTATTTGGTCACTGGGGATGAGAAGTGGGTCCTTAAAAAATTCTCAACACTGAAGGACCATTTGCAACAAGAATGGAGGAGTCAAAAGCAGGATTGCACTCTTGGAAAGTATTATTGCCTGTTTGGTAGGATATCCGAGAACTAATTTATTGGCAACTCTAAGGCTGCTCGTCCATTGGAACCGAATTACGACGGCCGTTCAACAGCCGAACTATTTGACCAAACGGACGACCAGCAAGTCGAACGCCGTCGTCCACTGTAGTCGATTATCGTCAGTTCACGACACAGCCCAAATGGATGTAGAAGATTTGTTGCTGCTCGAAAATTCTTAGTTTACATACAAATGAAATGAAAGAAATAAACAAAAATATTGGAAGTTCCATTTTTAAAGCTATCCTTGACCACTTAGCTGGACATCTCACCGATGATAGAGTGGATCACGCATGTCCCAAGAGCCTGCTCCTCAACCGCACTAATCAATTTTGCGCAATCCATCGAAATGAAAACAAAACGAAAAGTAAGCAAAAAGCAAAGAACGGCGTTAAACAATGGTGAGCGTTTGATGTCACGTGGTTGACAGTTGAAGTCGAAGTCACCATTTGGCCGGATAGGACTGAAAAATCCAACTTTATTTGGATCGGAAAGTGCTTCGGCCGTACACGGCCCAACATGACCAAACGAATTGGTTTTAATGGACACGTTGTGCTCATTCGTTTCTTTGCTTTTGGATCATCCGGCCCTATTCGGCCATACAACGGCCGAACAAGTTTGGCCGAAAATGGCTTCAGTGGACGGCCTACCTTACCAAGCAACCAAACCGTTACAGGTGGGGTGTACTGTGCCCAGCTACAATGTTGAGGGAAAAACGTCCAGCCTTGATGAATAGACGGTGGTCATGTTTCAACACAGCAATATCAGATCTAACACAGCCACACTCACTCGGAGTAAAATTACCGAGTTAGGCTAGCAACAAATCTCACCCTCCACATTCTCCAGGCCTCGCCCCCTTCTGATTTTTACTTGTTCCCCTACGTAGATAACCAAGTGGTTATTTTTACTTTTTAAGTAAAAAGTAGGGAATTTTTGAACAAAAATGCTCTGAAAATCAGGCTTAGATTTATTTTTGTCTAACAAGGGGACGACCTGGTGGTCATGTTTTGGTGATTCTCCATTCCAAAATATCGGACATGTATCCACCACTTCTTGTGAATAAGCCCAGCCTGGTTTTGCCAAAAACTTTTATTGAGAAATTACATTTTCCATTTTGTAATATGTTTATTTTGCCGTTCTATTTGCTCAATCTATTATTTGAATATATAATTTTAGAACATTTTTTTTTTTAATGTAGATCACAGTAAAAATATACGTATAAAAGCTATCGAAGTTTATCAATAGCGAAAAGATTTCTAAAAACCAAATATTTTTCATGCGAAATGGTCAAAACTTGGATTAGACCTCATTGTAATTCTAGCATTATGCAATGCTGATGATGCTGACTTTCGGAAATATCGATGTAAATTAATTTTTGACTGATAATTTCGACGAACTTTCTGCCTGACTGACATTCCTAGTGCAAGCTCTAACATCTCAAAAGCTACTGGACCAATTTTTATGGTTGATTATTCGTTTTAAGGAAATAATCAAGTGCATTTTATAACTGTATCAAACATTAAAATTGGACTATTATTTCTATTTAAAAAAAAGGAATTTCTGATAAATAATTTTGCTATTTGGTTAATTTTATTATAGAAATATTTTATGTATTATAATGTTCAAAACTACATTCCTCTTCTTGTAAATAGTCCTTTTGACATTAAAATTCTTTCAGCCATATTTAAAAGAGCCGTTTCAAACAGATATTCCGATGACTTCTCAAAAATCAGAAAAATTTTACAAGTCAAAAAATAGATAAATTTAAATTTTTTAAAAATTATTTATTTAGATGCGGTCTTGTGTGCAAAATATATTTTATATATTCAATCAAAGTATTTCTAAAAAATATATTTTGCATTGTATAAATTCACTTTTCCACATCCATAATGTAATTGTTATATGTAAACAATGTTTGTAAATCCCAGGCCCTGAAGATGATCTCAATAAAGATCGAAACGGCACGATAAAGAAAACGTTTTTCTAAAACCTACATCACACCAGACCGCATCTCACGATTTCTAAATAAATATCGATTAACGGTCATCACTAATCACCACACATTTTTAAAAATTAATATTTAGGGGCCCAACTCTAGAGGTGCCAAAACGACATTTTGTATTAGCTTCCAGAGGAAAAAAAACCTACTTTACTTGAAAAATATTTGTTTTTAGTATTATTTTTATAGTAATATTTGTTTTGGTTATTGATAAACTTCAATAGCTTTTGCTATGTCATTGTTGTAATCTACATAAAAATGTAAAATGATATTTTCGCCTGGTTGATTTCAGCAAGTAGAATAGCAAAATAAAATAATTTAAAAAATGGAAAATTTCACTATTTCTGTGAAACCAGGGCCTATTCACAAGAAGTGGAAGATACTTGTCCATTATTTTGGACTGTAGACTCACTAAAAAAAAGTTTGGTCCAAATCCGTGACCCCAACACCCTGATCGTTCCCGTAAGCCAATAGACTTTAAAAAGGGCAAATTTCTGCTGCTATAACATTGGCAGTGTGTTGAATTTATGTTTTGGATTAAAAATTTGTTGCATTTATATTTTGAAAATTTAACTTTTTTTCTTAAAGCCAAAAAAAAAATTATGCAATAGTTTGACAAACCAAAACTGCGAGATAGGCAGGCCATTCATTCGATCAGACTGTAGCCTGTACACCTCATGATGAAATAAAAATTAATACTTTAAAAACAAAAAATAATTGAAAATTATTTACTATTAATAAAGATTTTCAATTCCCAACAAAAAAAGAAATAAAGAAAATTGACACTACAAAATCAATAATTACAGGACAAATCAAGTAGTGCTATGAACAACTAATTTTTTCATGTGTATAAAACTGTAAATTGTGGTAACTTTAAATTCGTAATAAATACTGTAAATTGTAGCTATATGGTTTGTAATTTAAAATTTGTTGATTTAAAAAAATGCTAGCATCAACAATCCTAAATTAATAAGCACCTATTATCTAATAAATTGAAAACGCCTTATGCTACACTAATACATGCCTTTCAAAAATAAAATTTAAAAAATCTAACTGCAAAAACAGGTGCATGCTACAATCATGCACGCAATAGATTTATGTTGAGATTATAATTTTACCAGATAAGTTTGAAGAGGAGCCTTTTTTCCCTCTGCTCGGCGTCATCGTCCCATCATGGGCATCAGCACCAGAATCAATGTGGATCGTTTTTGGACGAGGCCTAGTTGGTTGTCCGGGTTTGTTTCTCATCTTAGCACCTGAGCTACCCGTTCCTGGACTATGTATAGTCGCCTTGAGAGAATGTAATAATTCTTTGTCTACTTGTTTGCCCTAAAAATATTTTTATAATTAACCATCAATCTCGATTGTTATAATCATTAATGTGTAATAAATACTTCTCGTTCGGCTTCTTCAATCGCTTTTTTAATTTTATATTGTTCTAAAATCTGAGCTCTTCTTCGCTTTTCTTCTTCTTTCTTTCTCTGCTTCTCCTCCTCTTTGGCCTTTTCCTGGTCCCTTCTTCTAGCGATTTCAGCTTCTTTCACGTTACGGGCTTCTTCTGCAGCCTGCCTCCTTTGTAATGACATCATCAAGATCCTTTCCTTCTTCTTTTCCATCTCGTCCAACGTCCCCTAGAGAGAAAATAGAAACAATCAACTCACATTCTAAAGATATAAATATAAAAGTCCTTCTAACAAGCTTCACAAACTCACCGGGTCTGGCTGGTTACCGATAACGATTGGCTCAGCAACCGGCAGGGTCGGGACACGGGGTTCCATGTCTTTTGCTCTTGATGGGGGTGCAGGTGTAGGACAAGCTTGAGGTGGTGGGGAATTTGTTACCCTAGGTTTGCTTTCAGGTGGTACTGCTGAAGTCACACTACCAGTGTCTAAAACTTGTGTTAATGCTCGTTCCTACAAAGGTGCAAAAACAAAAACTATAGAAATATGAAAACGGTGTAGGCTCTGTGAATTAAAAAAGCATCTGTATACCTACAAGCATTTCTATATTTAACCACTACCAACAATTAACCCAATTTTGTAGATTTCTGGCATATGGCAGTTAAAATTGATTCTTTGCACTTCACTTTTTAATTTCTTGTTAATGGGGGTTTACAACAGCAGAGAGAGGTCTTATCAATCCCCAGGAGTTGTTTTTTTTTGGGGGGGGGGAGCCCATTTTGTAAGTACTTTGTGTGAAATGACTTCAGTATTAATGAAATTTGAGAGCAAGGAACCATCATTGTAGTGCTGCATTCAAAATTTACACAACTGAAATCACAATCTCATGCCACCTCTACACAATGGCCCACTGTAGTGGTCGTAAAGATGGTCACCATCAGTGACCAGACACTTGTAATCTTGGGCCATTTACGTCCATCGTTAAACGCTGGTCGATGATGGGTCATTGTAGGAATTCACTGCTCACCCTGTTTGTGAACAGGCAGACTTTAATGCGAGAGAAAAACCATTCGCAAAGCTATTGTGCACCATTCCTTGATTCACTATCAGCCATTGCACGTAACCTACCCTTCAGATAATAGCAAAGGATTGTGGAGGCCGATGTAGAGGTCTTTACTTAAAAGCAAAGGTGGTGGCCGACATGTTGATCAGTAAAGCCTAAAGTCAAAGGTGACCCAACAAAAACTACATGAAAAATGTAGAACTTGGTAATAACCAATCCATAACCGTTTGTCATCCAGAGTACATTCTGAAAAGAAGTCGGCATGTGGATTGCATGAGCTGAATAAAGCCAAAAACCTCAAAAGTATAAAATTCAATGCTTTCCTTACAGAACAAAAGCAATCCGTTTTTCAGTCATATGGCAACATTTGCTGAAAAATGGATTAAACAACAACAAACAGCGAACTAGAGAGTAGTTGGGTAAGCCCAAAAAACCAGGACCCTTCCCAAAGCAGAGTACCACCCTAAAATTGTATTGTCACAGACTGGTCGTCTTCTGCAGTTTTAGTATCCTAAATCCAGGTTGGGGAGGGAAATCGGTGGCCGCAACTTATCTCTGTAAGGCAAAGGTACCAGGTTCAAATCCAATTGCCCTGCATTTGAACCTGACATACTTATAAATGGGCTTTAAAAATAAATAAATATGTATAAAAAACTGGCACTCTAACTGGGGTTTTATATAACCTTGTAGTTGAAATACCCTCGTTTAAAAAGAAAAAAAAATCCAGGGGGAAACACTGCTGTAAAATACTGTTATGAAAAGATGGACAGAAAACAACAGTTTATGCCCTGCAGCAATGATCAATTGAAAGGGTTCTTCTTCATGACAATATTCACCACACTCACAATAACGACACACGGCTATCAGGCTTTACCAATTCCACAATAAAGATCTTTTTAAACATCTCAACAACTTTTTGCATGCGACATACAAAAACTATAAGACAACATGAAAAATGTAATTCAAGGGTTCAAAACAAGATTCAAAACTTCTGAGGTTGTGGGTTGGCAAAAATGTAGAGCATAATAGTAATTTAAATTCAGCTCTTTTTAATTGAAAATATTTTTTTTTTCTTTACAATGGATACCAGAAACTGGAGGAGTTCCCCTCATGAGCACTACACCTTATTGTACTTTATCCCTGGCTCCGTTTGGGGGGGGGGGGGTTGCAACATGCTTGTGAATTTGAGCCCCCAGGACCAAATTTAGGGTCACTGAGATCCAATCCTGCCCCAGACCTTCCATAGATGAGTGCCATGTCAATTTGTTTCAATTACGGCCACCGGTCCCCTTAGGCATCAGAAAAAAAAGTCCAGAGGCAATGGTGGGGATCGAACCAACACCCTCAGGACCTACTAGCCAAGTCTGGCGCCTTAACCACTCAGCTAAGGCCCCTTCTGTATCTCTAATTTAATGGTTGATAATTTATCCATGCATGCTTTTAAAACCAATTTTGTGTTGACATTCAAAAAATACTACCACGTTTAACAGAAAGCGTACAACGATCAGCAGGTAGGTATTTTCTCGACCATCTTAAAAACAAAAATCGACTTACCTTTTTAGGCGAATTTCGTTTTGTTCTAAGAGGAGGCTTCGGCCTCTTTGGTTGGTTATTAGTATCATCAAATGATATATAAAACCCTTGTTCAGTTTTCTCATGCTGTTGGGAGAAAGAGTTTCTAATAGGCGTGTAATTCCGAGTTGGTGACGGTATCCTGTACGTTCTGTTGCCTGATGTTATGTTGATTTTGCTCAATCCAGCTGTTAGCTGTTCCTGATCCTCTCCTGAGCCTTTCCAAACAAAAAATATCTTTGTTAGTGCCTACTTGTGCCTGGGTTCACAAATTCTCTTAAATTTGTAAAAAGAAAATCTTTTTTCAAAAAATAAAGTACACGATACGTTACAATGTAATATATTTTATATTAAATAATGAGTAGTCTGTTAAAATTTTACATTTGCGCCAATAAAATTTGCAAGCAGTCTTCATGTTAGATCTTCAAATTTCACCAAAAATAATAAACATATGGGGCACCTCAAACTCAGCTTTTTATAGTGTGTTTAAATAATATTTACAATTGAGCATGCATTTTGCATGAATCTTACCGATAAACGATATGCTCTGGGGCTCCATATCATCGACTGGAGGAGTCGGCAGAGGTGCGTGATTCACAGATGATCTAGGAGGTGGTGTCGGAGCCGAGGCAGGCGATGAGGAATTTCTGAAATTCCCAGTGTCACCACTTCCATTGTGGAGGAAATGAGCCTGCTTTGGAGAACTGCTCAGCGATGACGGTTCCATACGGTTCGACCAAGTGTTCGTATCGGGAGTGTAAGGCTGACCCCAGTTCCTCCTTTGCTGGGGCTGAGGTTCGTGTAAATAGAACTCTCCTTTGTCCTGCCTGTTGGTGTAATTTTCATCATAGTTGTGTAACGTGAATCCTTGGTTATATCGTGTGCTAAAGATTAAAAAAATTAAATTGAAATTTTAATTGTGCTATCTGTGTAAACTGAACAATTTCTGTTTTTGCAAATGCTCTTTTTACATTAATGTGATACTACTTTACAAAATTACTAATTAGTATTAATAGTAGTAACATCATAAAAGGTACTCACTTGGCAGAATAAGTCCCATAGTTGGGTTGCTGTTGAGGTTGGCTCAGACTGTGCCACTGTTGGGTATTGTTAAAAGCTTGCTGGCTATTTGCAGTAGACATTAAACTGTGCATTTGTTGCATTTGCTGTTGTTGGTTGTTAAAAGAGTTCATCTGCCTTCCGCCATTGAAATATTCATGACTGTTCATGCTGGATTGCTGGTTAATATGTGGTGGCATCTGCTGGTTGACTAACGGAGACATTTGGTACGGTTGGTTGCTGTAAATGGGCTGCTGCTGCGGTTGTTGCTGCTGCTGCTGCTGCTGCTGAAAGTTTGGAGTGTGGTTGTTGAAGTTGATGTGCTGCGTGCTGTAATTGCTCTGCTGGTGCAATGAAGCAAAACTCTGCATCGGCGCCATGTGCTGTTGCGGCTGCGGCTGCTGCTGTTGTTGTTGCGGTTGTTGCTGTGGTGGTGGCGTCTGTTGAAGGTTCTGAATGTTGACGGGTTGATTTACAATCTGATTGCTCTGCAGTTGATTCTGTTGATTTGCTAATCTTTGCAGATCCGCCTGGATTTCATGTAAACTGGAATTCATTCTATTAAAAAAACGATAATTTTTAACTGACTGTTTATTATAGCATTTATTCCATTAAGAAACAAGCACGTAAATTATTAAAATATTAAATATCATATTTTAAAAAATGCACAACTTAACTCAATGATTACTTTTATTTCATAAAAACTAATAAATTAGTTTTGATGGTAATGACAATACAATATATTAAAAAATATAGTATTAAATAAAATTAATTTTAATCTTTAAAATAAAAAAGTACTCAAGGCTCAATAATAAAAATAATAACCTCGATGACTTAAAACAAAACAAAAATCACAACAATAACCAAATATGCTGAAATTGTTTATAAATACATACTGAGCAATAGACTGTTGATAAGTTTCAATATCCATATTTTCCATATCTGGTGTCTTTCTTTCTTCCGTAAAACCTTCTTTAGACAGCCACTTTTGTTCAACCTCAGTAATGTCCTACAAATGAAAATTAAATAAAATTAGCGCTTGTTTATAAAATTACTATACTCAATTATTAAAAATAAATTTAAAAAATAAAATAAATGAAAAAACCATAAAACTCTCTAAAATACTTTAAAATACCTGCAAGGAAAACGGCCTGGCAGGTTTGGAGTCCTTCACTGGTGTTTCTGTCGTGGTCTCCCTGCCAGGATCTGAATCAGGCGATTTCACCACCTTGCCCTATTACCAACACCAATAATTATGCCCAAAATCCATGCACACTCACCATAAAAGTAAGTCCATGCAAATATTCATCAATAAAATAATAAACTAAATTAAAAGAAAAACAAATCTATAGGTAAGTTTTTATTCATACAAATTATTAAAAGATTAGTTATTTGTATAAATTAAACTAGAATGTGCAAATTGTTTAACGTGAATAATTAATCAGCACTTAAACAGCGCTTAGATTTAATTTTTATAGTAAATGTATCCGTTCAAAAGAACGGAAAAATAACTAAATATTTAATAGTTGTGCAAAGATTAAACTGTTTTCCGTCACCAAGTGTGAATAATGATTTCTACCTTGGAGACTGCTTGCAGAAAGGCAGCTTTTCCCACTTTCTGCCTCTGACGGTTCAACTGCGCTTCCATCCTCCTCTTCTCGCTTTCTATCCTCCTGCGCTTCTCTTCAAGTTTGAGCCTAATATTCATCAACTGAGATCCCATGACAGTGTTGTCAATTTGGATGTCTGTTCCTGCAAACAGTTTGACTTAATTTCGACTAAAATTTAAAAAAAAAATTGTAAGAAGAATAAAGAAGAAGAAGAAAATCAGTATTTCCCATATCTGAATATTATCAGAACAAAATCAGTATTTCCCATATCTGAATATTATCAGAAGAAAAACGTTTGTAATTAACTTAAGATTTAATTTGTTTTTTGCAGCATCAAATTGAGAATGGAAAGGACAACAGGCCTCTTACCATTGTCTTGGTGATCGTTGTTCTGATTTGCCATAGATTGTTGCTGCCAAGTTGTCGTGTTGTTTGGTAACGCAGCAAATGTTGTTACTTTCTTTTCCTTCTCAACTGGCCTTGTATCTAAACAAAATGTTAAAAGCTGTGGTCACCTATATATTTATTTTTGAAATCTATTTTGTTAAATATCTACAGTTTCTCACTGAACAAGTAACTTATTTTTTAAGTTAATTGCAAGGCAGGACTTTTTTAGGTAAAATATAAATAAATATTATAAAATAAAATATAAAAATAAAAAACGTACCAAGGGGTGATTGAGGAGCAAGAGTAGGTGAAGGGCTGGGGTCTAGAAGTAGTTGTTGTAAGCCAGCACTACTTCTAGTTTCCTCAGCCCTCCTTTGACCTTCAATAAAACTATTATTCCTTGTTAAGGTAACTACTCTAGGACTTGTTTCTGGCGCTATAATTAAAACAAAAATAAATAAAAATAAATAAATAAAATGGAGAAAGGAAGAGGAATCCTTTTTTTTTCTTTTTCTACCTTGCTGTTTTACATAAGTTTCTTGCAGTGCATAATGAAGTGCATCACTGTTGTTGTCTAAAACACTAGATCTTGCTATACTTTCTCTCCGACCTGAATGAACTGCAGGTTCTTTGTCAGGGTTGCGCCCAAGTAGATGAAGGTTTTCCTGCGACCCGCCGAAGTTTTCTAGGGTCAGCTGGGAGTCTTCCGAAAGGGAATTTCTCCTCGACCGGCGACCGGCAAACGACTGCTTCCTCGGCTCCCAGTTAGTGGGTATGCCGGCAGGCTCTGTCGATCTGTTGTTCGGTATAGGAGACTCATTGCCGCCGATGACCGAACTGAGGGTGGTAACTCCACGCCCCCTGTGCACCACAAATTCTTCCCCACCTGACCTACTAGAAACAGACATCCTTACATAGGAGAACAACAAAGAGTACAAACACACAACTGTTTTGAAATAAACTTGTTGTAAAAAATTAACAAACATTGAAAAATATATATATTTATTTATTTTTTTGTATTTTATTTTATTTTTGGATTTAGCAGGAATTTTACAAAACATTAAGTGTAACTTTATTTGTTTGATTTTGTTATCTTTGAAAAAACAAAACAAAAAACTAAAACAGTTGTTAAATGAAAATGTACAAACCTATTATCTCCTTGATCTGTATGGTGATTTGTATGGTTCTTCTTTAAATTTCCAGATGACAAGACAGGCGTCCCTAGAATGAAAATAACACTGTTAATGCAATTATGACAGACAGCATACTTTTATGCTCTACAAATTCCAAGCCAAACTATTCCAACAACTTGAACAAACTTATTGAAATCTACTCCTCTACAATTATATTTAAAAAAAAAAAAATAAATAAAAATAAATACACAATCCCTTTTGTGAATAATAGCACTTGCATTGAAATGTAGCAAACATGAATTAAATCTAGATTGGCATCTAGCTAATTATTGAAAATGAAAATGCATTTTATTAACTTGTTAAAAATATAAGTGATGAAATGAGGTTAATCAACATCCATCATGATCATAATCAAAAAACAGTATTTTTTTTTTTTTAATTCTAGTGCAATATATAGTGTAAGTTTAAATTCTGTTCCTTTTTTTTAAATCGGAGACATGTAAACTTTAATTTTTTGTCTAGTTTCTCACTAAACAAAAAATTATAAACCAACTCACCAGGATAACAGGATGTGAATAGGAACTTAACTATTTCAAATTTCAGATACTCATCAATGTACACTTTAACGGTGAAAACAGTTTTGAATTTGGAGTTCGTTATTAAAAAAAAAAAAATTACAAATGTATTTATTCGATTCACAGGATGCTTTGGATGTGGCTCACTGAAGCATGATTCAGCCTGGTGCAAATTTCGGCCTACAATTATAAACTTAAAGAAATTAATGTTAAACAAACAAATAAAACGGATTTGCTTTAAGGATTTTGAATAATCCCATTTTAAAAAAAAATGTTTTAATACATAGTTAAACACATCTTAAAAACCATATTTTACATTCTTTGACTTTCTGTGGAAATCGTAGTCTCGTACATTTTGTTAAAATGGAAACTGTGTTATTGAATGCAGTGCCAGGGAGATAAAAAGGCTGGGGATTACCAATAGAAGAATAGCAGTCTACTCAGACAGCCAGGAAGCAATTGCCTCATCGACGGTGAAGTCCAGAGTCGTTCGGGACTGCATTAGAGCCGTGGACATTGGGGAAAGTAACAAAATTACCCTCGTCTGAGTGCCAGGGCAGGCAGACAATGAAGAGTCCACAATGAGGACACCTATTGGCCCTGAACCCTTTTGTGGCTTACCACACTGCCAAAAATGTGGATCCATTAAACAATGGATTAATAAGTCCTCCGCTTAATGGCAATGTAGCCCAGGACAGATGCTTACAAAAAATCTATCAAAGAACCATCGCAGAAACTAACATCAGAATGGCTAGTCTAGGACTAGAATAATAGTTGGACTGCTAACTGGACTTGACCGGACTGTAGACTCTGGAGGCTTATGTATAGACTCGGAGTGGCAGAAACAAGGCTGTGCGGATATTGCGAAGAAGAAGAGATAGCTGAGCATGTTGGTGGTTGTTGGTTGGTTGATGGAAAAGTGGATCAAAATTTGCACCAGGGTAAATCACACGTCAATGATATCCAGAGAGACCTGTTAATCGATATTAAATTGCAAAATTATTAAGTTAAAAAAAAAAAATTTCTGTACCACGAGTAAGTATTTATTATCAGTTATAGTAGTTACTATCAGTACTAGTAGTTCAAATAAATAAAGTTGGAGAATATTTCATCTATATGATAAAAATAGATATCAATTTTTTGTAAATAACTTGAGAATGGTAGGTCCAAATTCAAAACAGTACACACCATTAAATTCAGCGTCAAATAACCTTTTTAAAAAATGAACATTGATGAATATTTTGATATTGGAAATAGTTAAGTTCCTACTCGTATCCCGTTATCCTGAAGATTTAGTTCGTAATTTTTTGTTTTATGAGATATTGGGGGGGGGGGAATTGTATCTCAAGGATTTTCACAAAAACACCCCAATAAAAACAAAAATATAGGGAGGAACAGAACTTAAACTCACCCTATATTCACATAATAACCCACATTACTACATAATTCCTCTGTTGTATATATGAATGGACCTGGAATTTAATCATAGTGATTTTATTCGACCTACATGTTTTCTAAGCAAAATTGTGTACTCTCCTCACTTTCAATTTTCCTTTTTTTTATGTTTTTTTTCTCCCATGAATACTTTGAATCACGGTATGGTCTTGAAGAAAAAGCAAATTCAATTGATCCCGCCAAGATTTCAACCTATTTTAATGTCATCATCAGAGTAAAACAATCTTATGTATGCCTACAAATTGACAAAATAAGTGTTTCATTGTAGATTTCAAATTTCTTTTTGAAACTGTTTATGTTAGTCCTTGGCAATGTTGGGACTGTGTCAGTCTTCCAAGAAATTTGAAATCATCAATTAAAAACTTAATTATGTCAATTTGTAGACATACTTAAGATTGTTTTACCCTGATGATAACATTAAAATAGGTCGAAAAGTTGGCAGGAACAATTTTTTCATCAAGACTATACTGTGATCCAAAGTATTTGTGAATAGAAAAGTGGTTAATACACCTAACATTATTAGGTTACTAATTATTACTATAAGGATACTATATACTATAAGGTTACTTAAATTACTATAAGGATCGTCATAATTCCAAATCAACCCCTCCCCACCTTAAAAAAAAGTCTCCAAATTACTTAATTAAACTTTTCACTGACGATTTCAAATTTCTTTGAAGACTGATTGAGTCCATGCCAAAAGGACTGTAACAGTATCAACAGTATGTTTTTTCTCGTTGTTCGCGCAAAAGACTATATGTTAAACGTAAAAAATTGTCTATTTTATAGAATTATATTTCATTACTACTGAATTGCAATTGAACTTACAACTTTCATTTTCATTTTATTTGGTTATATACATTTTGCTTGCCATATAATTCTGACTAATATGTATATTCAAAGGAATTTTTGCCAATCCATACTCTTTGTTCACTGGTAAAGCTATTAAATTTAATTAAATAAGAAATAACACTTTTCAAAGAAATAACAATGTCATTAAGAAATTATGAAAGAAAAAAAATCCAAAATGCATACACAATATTTAAACTACTATGTATAATAATAATAACAACAATACCACAAAAGTGTAAAAGTATATTGGGTGTGTGCATAAGTTTTTTCCGACCGCTTACAAAGTGGAGAATTTTTGAACCAAAACACCGAAAATTGGACTTATTTCTTGTCTGTTATAAGACTTTTACACAAGCAAAAGAATATATTCCAGAACATTGACAGTATTTCATATAAAATTAAGAAAATTATGTTTTGGATCCAAAATAAAATAAATTCATATTTTGAAAGGTCGACTTTTTTTTCTGAAAACCAAAAAAATTATAAATACACCCAATAATAAATTGTCTGATTAGAGTTTCTAAAAGTTAAAACAAATTGTACCACCATTCTGCCAAATACAATACACAAAACATAAAATAAATAAATAGATAAATATAAAATGTATCCTCTATAATAACCCAATACTATAAAAACAAATAGTGATGATAAATGGATGATTACAAAAACATTAGAAAGAAAAGTGATTTACAAACCTGATGACTAAGCTATATTACAAGTTAAAATAAAAATACAAAAAAACCATGCAGCACACACAAGTGAATTATATTTATTAAGTTGCAAAAAAATAACATAAAAAACAATGGTTGTTAATAGATCATCATCACTGTATAAATCAAAAAACAAACCAAAATTGATACAAACAAAAACAAGCAGGTGTGAATGATACAAAATAAAACACGGGCAAGGAGTAAGACATTCTTGGACTGGTGGGATAGGCAGCACAAAAGCTCACAGAGGCTTGGGATACAGGCAGAGAAAACACAAGGCCCTTTTGAGATTAGACTCTCTTGTCAAGTTCACCTGAAAAGGAGGAAGGGGAGTCTAAACCACTTCGTAGATCCGGTATTGCGGAGACTGCCTGGGGAAGACTCCTCTTGTGAGCGACACCCTGGAGGTTACGACCTTCCGCTGCAGACATTCCCCAGTTACAAAAATCCCAAACTTTTGTTATTTATTTATTTGTCATTCTTCATTAACTCTCAAGACAAGCAATTCTGCTCTCTGCTCTTATCATTTGCACAATACTGTCTTGCTTATTACCAACAGATTTTTATTTATTAGTATTATCAATTAATTTAGATGTATCTCATAAATGTTTGTTTATATGCTGCTGGTAGTTCTTATGGATCAATGGCATGTTGTTACCTATGTTTACATATGAAAGGTTTGGAAAAAATTCACATTAATCTCTTTCAAATCTTAATGGATCTTTTCCACATGTCTCTTTGTTAAAAATGGTTAAACAAGTAAAGATTGAATATGTGAAACTATGAATTTTATCTGAAATTATTTGCCTATGATGTTTGTAGTAACATTGTTTATCTGTGTGGGAATGTTTTGGAACGGAAAGAAAAACCATAAATCTTAAAGTCACCGTTTACTAATATATTTTATCAATACTGTGTGTTTTGTGGATCTGCATAGAAAGAAATGATCATTTTGAGAAACCACCAGGTAACCAGAAAAGTTCATGCAGGTTTAAATGGTTTAATAATTGTCAAATTAAAATTAGTTTAAAAATATTGTATTAGGAGAAAATGGATAATAGTCTCCATCGACATCTATAACCTTCTCCCAACGAGTTACTAGTCTAGTATGAAATCTAGTAGTAATCTATGTCTGTTTATGAAAGTTTGGATCCGAGAGTTAAAAATTATTCAGCTCATTTTCCAGCTGTTGGTGATTATTAAAGAAAAAAAAAGTGAAAGTCAAAAAGGTCAGGTCCAGAGAGTACGAAGGGTGTGGTATGACTTCCCAACCCAGCATTATTATCACCTCCTTTGTAGTTCTGCTGTATAAGGTTTCGAGCTGTCCTGATGAAAAAATAACACCTTTTCTGTTCACGAGAGCAGGTGGTTTCTGGCCGGGGCATTGCAGTTGGCTTAAGTGGATTTATGCGGTGATGGAGAGGCCACGGGGCTGGAGTTTGTAGTGCACAATTCTTGCCATACTCCACAAAACATCATCTTTTGGTGATGAATATTTGGTCAATGGGACAGTATCATTTGTGACAGCCATGACCTGGTGTTACTGTACAGGATCCATTTTTCATCAGATGTGACATTCTGGTCAAAAAATGTCTACTGTGTGCTATGAAAGCAATGAAAGGCAAATGTATAGATGCTGAAGCTTGTTACCGTTGGTCAATTTATGAGGAACTCATTTGCACAGCTTCCATCTTCCATGAATTCCCAATTCCCAATCTAGAGCAAATCATGTCATCGCTCGTACAGTATGAACATGTTCCTGACATGTTATGATGAATCACATTTGATAGCTCCCTCAATTCTTTGTCATTCAACACTTTTTATTTTCAATCCCCTCATCCTCATAAGCAAACTTTTTGAATCACTTTTAAGCACTGTGTTCACTTATTGTTTAATCAAGGAAATAGTGGAAATTTTATGAGCTGCCTTAGCTGCCCTTGTACCGAGCATAATTCATACAATAACCATGCATGAATCGTGGGTTTTGAAGCCATGGGAAAGAGTTTTTACAGTGAACTGTTCAAGACTTTTTCTTTATGAACTTCGTTATCCTCTTGTTGATGTAAACATCTAATCCTCTTATTTAATAAGAATGTTGATTAACGGAATTGAAACAATAACAAATGAAAAAATGCACAAACTTTGCTGGTTCCTGGTAAATTGTATGTAATAAAATTCCAAAATACTCTTTTGAATCCAAACCAAAAATCTAGCAACTCTGAAATACCAAGTGTCACCTAAAGCCTTTATCAAATTACAAGCAAATATTGTTTTCTCCTTCATTTTTTTTTTCTGATAAACTACACAATTTATTTTAAACTATTATTTAACCTGCAAGGGATTTGGAAGAACAAATTGGCAGGAAGAGTAGGTTGCAAAATTTTTAATATTTTCTTTTGAAACGGTTGGGTGTCACTATAAAAGCCTAAGTGCCTTTTATCAGAGATCAACAGTTTTTGTGATATATACGAACAATTAAATTAAACAACAGCTTGTCTAAAGTGGAAATTAAGAATAGAAAGGAAGATACGTTTACTGATTTATGATGTGCGTGTACTAATAATATAATCGTGTATTAATCATGTCATGTATTGCAGCCCTATGAAAAAAATTAACTAATTAAAAATTAATTATGAGATACTCTAAATATTTGTAAATACAAGCGAACGGTTTATATTTACCTTATATCCAAAAATTTGACATAGTATTGTCACTTTTGAAAATTTTGATTTGGTTATGAAATCAAAATAGAGTGATAAAGCTAAGAAGCAAAGTGCAAACTTCGCAGATATACGCACTCGACAAAAGCCAAGCGACACAAACAAGATTATCATCATTATTTGACAAAATAATTTTCATTCGTTACTTAAAAGTTTAACTGTTAACTAAACAAAACAGAAAAAGGACAAAATGTGATGCTATATTCAGGTGAATTCTAGTTAATAAATTCTTTAAATTATTAGTGTTTTTGCTAAAATTAATAATTAAGTTCTTTAAATCTATTTGGTGTTTCTTTTTTTATATAGATTTCAAGAAATACAAATTTGGTTAACTCAGTTAAATAGTAAAAATTAAAAACAAAAAATGCCATACCATTTGTTGTATTTCTAGAAGCACTGTTTAATGTGACACATGGCGCAGGGTGAATTTCCAGCACATTAAAAAGATCAGCAAGAAAGACTATTAAATTGTGTTTCATCGATCTAAAAATAAGAACAATTGGAGATTTAATCATCACGAAAAGAAAACGTACAATAAAACAAAATCCCCGACATACCCCCTCATATAATAAACATCTTCGGGAGCCATATGAAAAATATTATAAGGAAGCGCTTTTTGACAGAAATCGCTGACTAGAGTGAGATTGCGAACACAATCCGGGACGGTGGGAAGCTGTGACACACATATACTCGACCAATGGAGTTCTTCCGGACAATAGAAGGAAACCAGGCCTGCTAAACTAGCACCATCGCAAAGGTCTTGAAGTTGTTTCGCTTTAGGAAAGTCTGGGCATCTCTTTTCCTGAAAATAGAGTAATTAAAAGTATAAAGATGTTGCATTGAACATGATGTGATTGTTTACCGAATCCTCTTGATCCGCCCTGAGTTTAAGGGCTGTTGTTACTTGATTTATCCAGAAAAGAAGCGCACTTTCATAGTCCTGCGGTATCTCTTGGTCTACACTACCTGGCATGAGTCTTTTCACAGCTGCATACACAAATTCCGGTGTCGCAACTTCTTTTGCGTATAACGTCATCACAGCCTGCATAACAACTTGGTGTGCACTCTAAAAAACAATTTCGGCTCATAAAAATCATAATGGGACGATAATAACAAGCATGAAAAATATTACTTATGAAAATTTAAAAATCACTCACCAGTTTGATAGGAGTTGTCTGAATTAGAACAGTCTCTGTTATGTGAGGGTCAGAGATATAGACTCCTTTCCTCGCTAAAGCCTGGAGAACGCCCCCATGGTTGAGGTTGTTGAAATTTGGGTCGGAATAGATATTTGACAAAGCCATGCAGTAGAGTTCAGCGTTTGCAAGGCAGTGGACAAGCTGAGGCCTAAGGTGTTCCTGATCCTGGTGAAAATTTTAAATTTTAAATAAAATCGAACTGGACATAGTAAATCGGTTGCTCGTACCTCATGATTCCGATAGAATTGCTCATGGAGGTTTTCGGGTACTCTGTTGTTGAACGCTTTTGAAAGAAGCCATTTTATGGTTGCCCTCTGCTTTGCCTGAAAAACAAATTTAATTATTCATTCAAAAGTTGTTCAAAATGGCAATTATGGTGTTTGAAATTGTTCAGTTGATATTTTCCAAGTTTATAATGGGAAAATATTTCGAACTTTTCTTTGTTATTTCAACCATTTATACCACCGTACCATTTATTTATACAAAAACAGTACTTCCACCACAATGCTATAAACATTTTTAAATTGTGTTATTACTTTGAATTTTTGAATTGAAAGACTTTTAAGTTGTTATCCATGCTTGAAACATAATACTCTATTTTCTTCAATGCTAGATTTAGATGAATAATAGCAAACAGCTTGACCAATTTATTTATTGATACCAACAATCAAATGGCAACCATAAATAAATTGGTTGATGCAGTTTGCCATTATTTGTCCGACATTATTTTTGTTTGAAACTAAATTAATTACATTAAAATATTTTTTGTAAATGATTATAAAAACTAAATTAGCCTATATCAATAAAAATGCTGTTATTCACAGGAAAATATGTGCAACCTACCATACTTTCCTTTTAACATCAAGTTCAATACTATTATTTTCATCTTATTCTAATAAACCAATGTCAGAATCAAGCGTGCCCCACATTAACTTAAGTTTTTCTTTGAATTTAGTGCATTCAGTCACAAAGTCAGGAATTAATTTTGATATTATAGCTTTAAAATTTTACACTGATGTGAGGTCCTACCACAAAAATTTCACAACCACGTAACAAAATAACTCGGAAAGACAACGGCACTTGCCATATGTTCATAGGGCTCTAGGTTGAAAGTATAAAAAATAACAAAAAATTCAGACAATATGTAGTGTCGCTATTTGTACAAAAAAATATCCACTGCCCTCCCCAAGACCTCAAGTAGGAGTTAAGGGTTAACATATACAATGTGTTGTTAAATAAATTTCAACTAATTGTTACTTAGACAAAGGAAAACATTTTGAAAAAATTGTTGTTTACCATATAATAATGTTGAGTATAAATTAAAATATGAATTAATGAAAAAATATCTTATGTAGTTCACTACTTTCGTGGTCCGCTTGACCAATTAATACATGACAATTAATTAAGGTTTTTAGTTGAGATGAAAAAAGTTAATGGCTCGAGAGGGATTGAAAAATGGCAAAAAGGAGGGAAAACTCATAAGGTGGGGTTGAGATGGGGAGTTGACGTCCGAGTGGATCGAGGTGACGATAGCTCAAGTGGTAGAGCAGCGGCGTATCTAGCCGAAGGTCGTGGGTTCGAATCCCTCTCGTGCCAGACTTTTTTTTCATCTCAACTAAAAACCTTAATTAATTGTCATATCTTATGTAGTTTGCCCATTTCCGATCCTGGACTACCTAACCTCACAGATTTAATCTTAATGTCCCCACTTTCAGATGTGGGTTTGTGATGAAATGCCAATACGTTTCTGACAGACCGAAACATTAAGATAGGCAAATTAGGATTATCAGAAACAGCCAAGCAAGAGTTTCATCACTCCAAAGACCTCAAGAAATATCTCAATTAAATTATAGCAAATATCACTGTTAAAATAATATCAAAATAATAGTTTTCTAACAAACAAATCAAAATGAACACAATGGAAACAATGAACTTTGGAATTCGTGGAAGACAAGAGACTGGAAAGGCTGAAAGGCAAAATAACATGGGGACATTTCATCTCGAGATTTTGAGCACACCACCTCCAAGTTGGCTACATCAACTTTTTTTTAAAGAGTAATCTGCTACCGGAAAACATCAAAAAGAAAGGATTCTTCGAGTGAGTGTCCCATTTCCATGATTCCTTTATTTTATTCCTTTGAGGCTGCACAAAGATAAATTTTAGCTGCCTTTTGTTTGTAATTTTTTGCTTAAAAAAAGATAATTTATTTTTCATTAAAAATTTTTTATAAAAGACTAACAGTCTTAACTAATAATTTATCATAAAAAATTTTATATTTCCTGACTGAACAATTTACGGCTATCAATGAAAATTGGATAAAATAACATTTAATCTTAAATATTTACTCCATCTTTAATTAAAAGAAATAACCATCATTTCCCTACCTTGATTATACAATTTTTTTAAAAAATTTAAAATTATTTAAAAATTAAATTAAATTGTAAATTAAAATTCGATTCTTATGTAGTTTGGGCTTTTCAGATCCTGTTCTACCTAACCATACAGATTTAATCTTAAACATCCCCATTTTCAGAGGTGGGTTTGATGAAATGCCAATATGTTTCTGTCAGACCGAAACGTAAGAAAGGCACGCAGACCAGGATTATTGGAAACTACCAAGCAAGAGGTTCATCCCTCCGAAGACCTCAAGAAGAAATTCACAATTAAATTAAAACTAATATCCCTGTTAAAATAATAATAAAATTTTAATTACTAATAATTTATCACAGAAAATAATATTTAGCCTTAAAAAGAGGTATTTAATTACTCTTTAATTAATAGAAATTGCCATCATTATTTCTCTACCTTGATGTACCAATTTTTCTTTAATTTTATTAATTAATTTTTTTAATTAATTGTAATTTTTTTTTGGTAATGCAAATGTTTTTAATCAATTGAGTTAGCACCAGTCTGCCCTCGAAAATAGCGATTCATGTGAATTTAAATATGTGGAATTAAATGTGTACAATGTAAAGCTTGTCCATTTGTTTTAAATATTAGGTTAAAACTATTCAGAAATCGTGAGATGCGGTCTGGTGTGGTGTAGGTTTCAGAAAAACATTTTCTTTGTCCAGCCAACGTTTCGATCTTTATTGAGATCATCTTCAGGGCCTGGGATTTACAATTTTTCTGAAACTTACATCACACCAGACCGCATCTCACGATTTCTGAATAATTATCGATTAAGGTAATTAATCACCACACATTAGGTTAAAAGTTTATATCTATGTCTTTGTAAGAAAAATAGGTCAAAAATTAACGAAAGGAAAATTAACTAATTTAAAGAGAAACCTAGTACGCCTCCGCGGGGAATGACCCCCGTATAAAACATGCCATTACCAAAGCTTATACATCAGTTGTTAGAGCATGAGATGATCTAAACTGTTAAAAAAAAGGTCATCGCGAATCGACGGTCCTTCGGCATATTTAGTAATATATTAATAGTTTTCTGGTAGGTACATAATAAAAAAATTATACTGTGTTGCAAAACAATTGGATAGTTAACAGTAGCCAAGAAAAATTGGATTTCATGGAAAAATGCAAGATGTAGACTTGTGGTCTGTGAATAAAGAGTTGACAAACTGGAGATAGCCGGTCAACCTTGACACATTCTTCACTATTTACTAGGACCGGACCGAGACCACCGCGGCTTCACTCAACTGTCCAAACCGAAATAATTTCCATGCTCTATTAAAACAAAATTATGCAATTTAGAAACAATATTAAGATTTCGTGCTGGCAACCTAAATGAAAACAACTACGAACCATCGACAATATAAGTACTACTAACTTGAGAAAAGGACGAAAAATGTACATACTCCAAAAATACATGTATAACACATTTAGCGCTAAAAAAAAATCATAAATATACAATTTAACAATAACTCACAAACAACACTTAACCGTTTAAAACAATACACAAATTATATAGGAAAAGAACGATAAACGTAAAAGATCAAAAAGACCGACAAGAACGATAAAAAAATTCCCGTCTTAATCCTTCAAAAACACCGACAAACAACATCATTGTCACTAGCGGGATTCGAACCCACGACTTCTGGCTAAATACGCCGCTGCTCTACCACTTGAGCTATCGTGACTTCGATCCACTCGGACATCAGCTTCCCATCTCAACCCACCTTTTGAATTATGAGATGGGAAGTAGTGACCGAGTAGATCGAAGTCACGATAGCTCAAGTGGTAGAGCAGCTGCGTATTTAGCCAAAAGTCGTGGGTTCGAATCCTGCTCGTGGCAATGACTTTTTTCATCTCAACCAATATCTTACATAAAGATTAATTAATTGAAATAAGTTATTCGGTCAATCGGACCAGAAAATCTAATGAATTTAATAAGTTAAATGAAGTATGTATATCTTCACTAAAGCTCTCCCGTGGCCATTTCATTTGCCGCCGGGAATCAAATGGATTACACGACATTTGAAAACTGGTAAAAAGGAGGGAAAATTCAAAAGGGGTTTGAGATGGAGAGTTGGTGTCCGAGAGGATCGAAGTCATGATAGCTCAAGTGGTAGAGCAGCGGCGTATTTAGCCAGAAGTCGTGGGTTCGAATCCCGCTCGTGACACTCACTTTTTTAACTCGACCAATACCTTACATAAAGATTAATAAACTGAAAGAGGTTATTTGGTCAATCGGACCACGAAATCTAATATAAGCTGTGTTATCCCTCATGTAATAAATTCGACAAATTGTCTTTTAGAATTTTAACTGTCGGAGCCGACAGTAGATATCTATATAAAGCCACAAACAATTTTGAATGGACTCAATTTCGTAGCAAATCATGAAGTTTGTCGCTGAAAGTGTGAGGTGGAGTGAACTTATTTGAAGTAAGTTTTCATTCTCTAATCCTCATATTTAAATTCTCATGATTGATCCAAATTGACAAATGTTTAAGTAAAATAAAGAAGAAAAACACTTAGAAACCACCATTCATTAACCACACCTTGTCATTGAAACGTACTGCGTTTTCTCAGGACATATTTGGTCCCTCCCTCGGGTTATTTAGAAATTTAAAAAAAATGGTAAAAATTATAATAAGGTTGTCAAGAGTTTTGCTCTAAAGTCCAGCTTTCTTTAGTTTGCTCCTTTCTTATATTTTTACAGAACTAGGGCCAAATTTTGTAATATATTATAAAATGAGATATATAGATTTGCTTTGTTTGAATTTGAGGTCACTACACCCACATCGAAGCCAAAGCCCCATCAGGATATTGCTCAAGGCGTCTCCGCAACGAGTTGTCTTTATTTATTATGTTTCACATAAAAAACGAAGAATAAGAAGTTTATTCTTATTACCTTGGATA